ATTGATAATCAAACCAAGGACACTGCTGTACCAGGCAAACACTCCACCCACCAGGCCACACTACTAAACATGCCCTACTGAACCATGATGGACAGATAATCATTGATAATCAAACCAAGGACACTGCTGTACCAGGCAAACACTCCACCCACCTGGCCACACTACTAAACATACCCTACTGAACCATGATGGACAGATAATCATTGATAATCAAACCAAGGACACTGCTGTACCAGGCAAACACTCCACCCACCAGGCCACACTACTAAACATGCCCCACTGAACCATGATGGACAGATAATCATTGATAATCAAACCAAGGACACTGCTGTACCAGGCAAACACTCCACCCACCTGGCCACACTACTAAACATGCCCCACTGAACCATGATGGACAGATAATCATTGATAATCAAACCAAGGACACTGCTGTACCAGGCAAACACTCCACCCACCAGGCCATACTACTAAACATGGCCACTGAACCATGATGGACAGATAATCATTGATAATTAGGAGGTAAAACAGAAACCAATCAATGTGTATCATGTTACTCGGAGACTGAAGTTCAAAACAGCATGAGCATTGTTCGTCACGTACCTTTCCTATAGCAGCCCTGAGAGTTTGTAAAGGCTGATATATCCTTTCCTTCCAGCTGCAGGAGAGATACAAACAATGAAAGCATGGACGTCAAGGTCAACCTCATCCTAGACATTAAATTGATTAAGCAACTCACATAAACATAGCTAAATTGTCATAAACAAGGTGCATTGATCTGTACATTATTCACTGCCCTAAAGTTACTGTTTGCAGTTAACTTGGCTTAGTTAGCATTTCTACTCCTTATAATACCACTTATGTGTAATCACTTGTGTAATCACTTATAATACCACTCAAATCTGTGGAAAATTTGCAAGGATCTTGGGCTATTGACTGGACTGGACTGGAGTTTGGTTTTTCTGCCGCTTTTAGCAATATTCCAGCAACATCACGGCAGGGGACACCAGAAATGGGCATCACACATTGTACTCATGTGGGGATTCGAACCCGGGTCTTCGGCGTCTCGAGCCAACGCTTTAACCACTAGGCTACCCAACTGTCCCGCTATTGACTGGAAGTGTACGAGTGGTGCATGCATTCAAAAAAAAAAAGATACAACACCAAAACATATTCATAAACACAAACAACCTGATAAGCAACATTTGCTAATCATATACACATACATATATAACTGTAATCATGCTATCACAATTTTATCCTAACTATTTGTCTATTATTTTCAGCATATGGTTGAAAATAAAATCGAAAATATATTCATATTTATTATGCATTATGCATCTGAAACTCTACTTCTACCACTCTTAACATTAGTAACAATGTAGACACATAAACATGATGAACAGGAAGCAATACGGAGAAACTGTACCCTTTCTAGAACAGGTCCAATGACAACGTCAACTGTGAGTTTGGCATAGAGAGACAATATAGACACATAAACATGATAGACAGGAAGCAATACGGAGAAACTGTACCCTTTCTAGAACAGGTCCAATGACAACATCAACTGTGAGTTTGGCATAGAGAGGCAATATAGACACATAAACATGATGAACAGGAAGCAGATAATCATGATAACGGAGAAACTGTACCCTTTCTAGAACAGGTCCAATGACAACGTCAACTGTGAGTTTGGCATAGAGAGGCAATATAGACACATAAACATAAACAATCCCCCCACTGAACCATGATGGACAGATAATCAGTGATAATCAAACCAAGGACACTGCTGTACCAGGCAAACACTCCACCCACCTGGCCACACTACTAAACATGCCCCACTGAACCATGATGGACAGATAATCATTGATAATTAAACCAAGGACACTGCTGTACCAGGCAAACACTCCACCCACCTGGCCACACTACTAAACATGCCCCACTGAACCATGATGGACAGATAATCATTGATAATCAAACCAAGGACACTGTTGTACCAGGCAAACACTCCACCCATCTGGCCACACTACTAAACATGCCCTACTGAACCATGATGGACAGATAATCATTGATAATTAAACTAAGGACACTGCTGTACAGAGGCAAACACTCCACCCACCTGGCCACACTACTAAACATGCCCCACTGAACCATGATGGACAGATAATCATTGATAATTAAACCAAGGACACTGCTGTTACCAGGCAAACACTCCACCCACCTGGCCACACTACTAAACATGCCCTGCCCACTGAACCATGATGGACAGATAATCATTGATAATCAAACCAAGGACACTGCTGCTGTACCAGGCAAACACTCCACCCACCTGGCCACACTACTAAACATGCCCCACTGAACCATGATGGACAGATAATCATTGATAATCAAACCAAGGACACTGCTGTACCAGGCAAACACTCCACCCACCTGGCCACACTACTAAACATGCCCCACTGAACCATGATGGACAGATAATCATTGATAATCAAACCAAGGACACTGCTGTACCAGGCAAAACCTCCACCCACCTGGCCACACTACTAAACATGCCCCACTGAACCATGATGGACAGATAATCATTGATAATCAAACCAAGGACACTGTTGTACCAGGCAAACACTCCACCCACCTGGCAACACTACTAAACATGCCCTACTGAACCATGATGGACAGATAATCATTGATAATTAAACCAAGGACACTGCTGTACCAGGCAAACACTCCACCCACCTGGCCACACTACTAAACATGCCCCACTGAACCATGATGGACAGATAATCATTGATAATTAAACCAAGGACACTGCTGTACCAGGCAAACACTCCACCCACCTGGCCACACTACTAAACATGCCCCACTGAACCATGATGGACAGATAATCATTGATAATCAAACCAAGGACACTGCTGTACCAGGCAAACACTCCACCCACCTGGCCACACTACTAAACATGCCCCACTGAACCATGATGGACAGATAATCATTGATAATCAAACCAAGGACACTGCTGTACCAGGCAAACACTCCACCCACCTGGCCACACTACTAAACATGCCCCACTGAACCATGATGGACAGATAATCATTGATAATCAAACCAAGGACACTGCTGTACCAGGCAAACACTCCACCCACCAGGCCACACTACCTAAACATGCCCTACTGGACCACGATGGACAGATAATCATTGATAATCAAACCAAGGACACTGCTGTACCAGGCAAACACTCCACCCACCTGGCCATACTACTAAACATGCCCTACTGAACCATGATGGACAGATAATCATTGATAATCAAACCAAGGACACTGCTGTACCAGACAAACACTCCACCCACCTGGCCACACTACTAAACATGCCCTACTGAACCATGATGGACAGATAATCATTGATAATCAAACCTAAGGACACTGCTGTACCAGGCAAACACTCCACCCACCAGGCCACACTACTAAACATGCCCCACTGAACCATGATGGACAGATAATCATTGATAATTAAACCAAGGACACTGCTGTACCAGGCAAACACTCCACCCACCTGGCCATACTACTAAACATGCCCTACTGAACCATGATGGACAGATAATCATTGATAATCAAACCAAGGACACTGCTGTACCAGGCAAACACTCCACCCACCTGGCCACACTACTAAACATGCCCTACTGAACCATGATGGACAGATAATCATTGATAATCAAACCAAGGACACTGCTGTACCAGGCAAACACTCCACCCACCTGGCCACACTACTAAACATGCCATACTGAACCATGATGGACAGATAATCATTGATAATCAAACCAAGGACACTGCTGTACCAGGCAAACACTCCACCCACCTGGCCACACTACTAAACATGCCCTACTGAACCATGATGGACAGATAATCATTGATAATCAAACTAAGGACACTGCTGTACCAGGCAAACACTCCACCCACCTGGCCACACTACTAAACATGCCCCACTGAACCATGATGGACAGATAATCATTGATAATCAAACCAAGGACACTGCTGTACCAGGCAAACACTCCACCCACCTGGCCACACTACTAAACATGCCCCACTGAACCATGATGGACAGATAATCATTGATAATCAAACCAAGGACACTGCTGTACCAGGCAAACACTCCACCCACCTGGCCACACTACTAAACATGCCCCACTGAACCATGATGGACAGATAATCATTGATAATCAAACCAAGGACACTGCTGTACCAGGCAAACACTCCACCCACCTGGCCACACTACTAAACATGCCCCACTGAACCATGATGGACAGATAATCATTGATAATCAAACCAAAGGACACTGCTGTACCAGGCAAACACTCCACCCACCAGGCCACACTACTAAACATGCCCCACTGAACCATGATGGACAGATAATCATTGATAATCAAACCAAGGACACTGCTGTACCAGGCAAACACTCCACCCACCTGGCCACACTACTAAACATGCCCGACTGAACCATGATGGACAGATAATCATTGATAATCAAACCAAGGACACTGCTGTACCAGGCAAACACTCCACCCACCTGGCCACACTACTAAACATGCCCCACTGAACCATGATGGACAGATAATCATTGATAATCAAACCAAGGACACTGCTGTACCAGGCAAACACTCCACCCACCTGACCACACTACTAAACATGCCCCACTGAACCATGATGGACAGATAATCATTGATAATCAAACCAAGGACACTGCTGTACCAGGCAAACACTCCACCCACCTGGCCACACTACTAAACATGCCCCACTGAACCATGATGGACAGATAATCATTGATAATCAAACCAAGGACACTGCTGTACCAGGCAAACACTCCACCCACCAGGCCACACTACTAAACATGCCCCACTGAACCATGATGGAAAGATAATCATTGATAATCAGGAGGTAAAACAGAAACCAATCAATGTGTATCATGTTACTCGGAGACTGAAGTTCAAAACAGCATGAGCATTGTTCGTCACGTACCTTTCCTATAGCAGCCCTGAGAGTTTGTGCGGCTGATATATCCTTTCCTTCCAGCTGCAGGGAGAGATACAAACAATGAAAGCATGGACGTCAAGGTCAACCTCATCCTAGACATTAAATTGATTAAGCAACTCACATAAACATAGCTAAATTGTCATAAACAAGGTGCATTGATCTGTACATTATTCACTGCCCTAAAGTTACTGTTTGCAGTTAACTTGGCTTAGTTAGCATTTCTACTCCTTATAATACCACTTATGTGTAATCACTTGTGTAATCACTTATAATACCACTCAAATCTGTGGAAAATTTGCAAGGATCTTGGGCTATTGACTGGACTGGACTGGAGTTTGGTTTTTCTGCCGCTTTTAGCAATATTCCAGCAACATCACGGCAGGGGACACCAGAAATGTGCTTCACACATTGTACTCATGTGGGGATTCGAACCCGGTCTTCGGCGTGACGAGCCAACGCTTTAACCACTAGGCTACCCAACTGTCCCGCTATTGACTGGAAGTGTAATGAAAGTGCATGCATTCAAAAAAAAAGATACAACACCAAAACATATTCATAAACATAAACAACCTGATAAGCAACATTTGCTAATCATATACACATACATATATAACTGTAATCATGCTATCACAATTTTATCCTAACTATTCTGTCTATTATTTTCAGCATGTGGTTGAAAATAGGATAAAATTGAAAATATATTCATATATCATGCATTATGCATCTGAAACTCCACTTCTACCACTCTTAACATGTGTAACACTATAGACACATAAACATGATAGACAGGAAGCACATGATAGGAGAAACTATACCCTTTCTAGAACAGGTCCAATGACAACGTCAACTGTGAGTTTGGCATAGAGAGACAATATAGACACATAAACATGATAGACAAGAAGCAATACGGAGAAACTGTACCCTTTCTAGAACAGGTCCAATGACAACGTCAACTGTGAGTTTGGCATAGAGACTTGTGGTTGTCTCCCATGATGGATTGTGATTGCATGATAGACACATAAACCGGATCTGTCACTGAAACAACACAGAAAATAGGTGAGCATGGCAAGAAGGTATTGGTTGTTTGTTGCAACCGTGAGTTTTGTTCACAAAATGTGTTTCCACACATTACTGTCTTTGGCTACTTCAACAGGGATGCAGAATTAGATGCAATTCCATTTATTGAGGTGATTCCTTGCAAACTTTGAGCAGGGAATAATTTTTATGTTGCTCAAATTGACGAGTCATATATTGAATGCCATGTTCAAGGCAAGGTTTTCATACCTGAAATGAAGGGTCTGAGAAAAGGGGTCACCTTATATGCAGGGTGGAAGATCTCATATTTTCATAACTTGAGATGTCCCAAATCAGTTGCCCCTGTGACCTAACATGTGATATCTAAGCGTGTTAGCACACACAAAAAGTTGCCACGCATCGAATAATTTTAACAAAATATTGTGATATAAACATAATTTTATAACAAATTTTAGGGTCATGTATGCTCTGATGATATGTTTCATTCCGGGTTGGGTTACAGACAGGGTTGGGTTACAGACAGGGTTGGGGCCACAGACAGGGTTGGGTTACAGACAGTTACGGACAGGGTTGGGTTACAGACAGGGTTGGGTTACAGACAGGGTTGGGTTACAGGGTTACAGACAGGGTTGGGTTAAGGACAGGGTTGGGTTACAGACAGGGTTGTGTTAAGGACAGGGTTGGGTTACAGGGGGTTGGGTTAAGGACAGGGTTGGGTTACAGACAGGGTTGGGTTGGGCTACAGACAGGGTTGGGTTACAGACAGGGTTGGGTTACAAACAGGGTTAGGTTACAGATGGGGTTGGGTTATGGACAGGGCTGGGTTAAGGACAGGGTTGGGTTACAGACAGGGTTTGGAGTTAAGGACAGGGTTGGGTTAAGGACAGGGTTGGGTTACAGACAGGGTTGGGTTACGGACAGGGTTGGGTTACAGACAGGGTTGGGTTAAAGACAGGGTATGTAAATTAGATTTGGTGGGTTGGAGGGGGTGGGTTGTTAGTCTTACACATGGGGTTACACTATACCTGGCAAAATATGGTACCTGCATAAATCCATAAGCTCACTTCCTACTGTACTTGTGAATAACACTAACATTTAATGTTGACTTCAAGGAGAATTTAACCCCCTGAGCTGGCCTGGTTTAATCCCTAAGCATATTTTATTGCTATCAATAAATGGAAACGGTACAGATTCAGAAGCTGCTTGACTTTCACCATGAATGAATATCACTTGCCCAAGAACTGAACAGCATTACCAGTATACTGTTATACGATTTTCAAACATTATATACTACAATATTCTTTCTGAGAACCAGTATATTGGGTAAAAATAACTTCGAAGTTTTGTGAATATCCCTTTAGTTTAAGTTAAAATCTACACAGAATTTCATTCACTAGGGTGGTTCCATTCTTGACTGAAAATAGGTCATACTTTAATGCTCTAAATTGTATAAAAAGAATCTTTATAGCCAACCTAATTTTGTTGAAACACAACATTTATCTTTTTGGGCCTTAAAGTGTAAAAAGGATAGACCTGCATGTACAATCAGTCACGATTCAGTGTCACTCCCTGTCAAACATGTTAGCTCCCAATCTACAGCAGTACCCTGTACATATCAGAACAGGGGCACCTGAATTGCAATGTACTGAAATGCAATTTATTTGCCAATACACAGCCCTGTCTTTACCTGTATGATGATCATGTGTTACCTTGGTTGTGTATCAACATGATGATGAATATTGTCTCCTGCAGTGGACACATGCATATGTCACACCACAGCATGTCATCAACATATTCAAACCACAGCATGTCATCAACATATTCACACCACAGCATGTCACCAATACAATGCAGGAAGATTCTGACACATCACCTACACCTAACAGCGTAGTGAAACTTGGAATGGTAGTCAGTGCTGACAGATTAAAAACAAAGAATCATCATGATTATAAACAGATTAAAACCTGTAACTAATGCATCATGTTGAAAGCGGGAGTTACATTGTCATTATCAGCACCTGTATTAAATAATCCATGTCACAGTACGTCACAGTATGTGTAGTATTGGTTTTACCTGATGCAACCTATTGAACATGGAGAATGGACCCACATAACAGTCACCAGTCATGCACAGTTGGATTATCTGACCTCGGCAACTTAATACACATATAACGAGGTGAATAATCACAGTCTAAGTAAACTTAGAATTGTAACGAATATTGCTGAGCCTAAGTGTATTCTGACTGCAGGTACATCATGCACAGTTCATACAAAACTGGAGCCACCAACTTAATGCACAAATAATGAGGTGAATAATCAGCACCTACATCCTACACACAAGCAATCCCTAGGGACCAGTATAATTTGGCTCCAAGTAATGCTCTGTTGTCAACAGAATGGCGACTGTGTCTGTCTTGCTGCAAGCAACATTTTAAGGATCCAAGACTGCTTGTTCTCCAGCTTCCTTATCACTCTCTATGGTATTAGAAATAGCTTACAATTATACTACATTTGGAAATAACATCCAAGGTCCTGCTTAATTGCTGCTTAATTGTCTTTTACCAGATGTACTGATGAAAGTGATATAGCCAGCATATTAATGGATGAAGGTGGAGATAAAAAGAATAATTAAACAATATAATAAAATCATACTTTTCAACATCGTTAAGACTATATTTCCAAATTGCCTGTCAATAAACATAGTCTATGTTTATGCAATGTATCAGAGACCACTACATGTCCATGGGTGGATCCAGGAATTTTGAAAGGAGGTTCGAACCCCCTGGCTTCGCAACGCAAAAAAAGATCTTCAATGTGCCTTAAGTCATTTTCAAAAAGGGGGGTTCAAACCCCCTGAAACCCCCTCTGGAACCGCCAATAATGATGTCTCATACTTCCATTGTGTAATGGGTTTTCGGACACTACGAACATCTGAAAGTCTTGATTATGACAATAAGCTATTGTAAACAATTGTAAAACATTTCATAACTTATTAAAGACAACTTTATCTTAAACACAAGCCATCACCCGAGTATGTCAGTGTGATGGAACCTGCTTTGTTATGGTGTGATATATTGCTCTCCGAAAACATGTGACCTCCGAAACCTTACGATTTGACAATAAAAGCAAAATAGGATTTTGCTGCTACAATAGATAGACAAAAGTACACCAAAAGTGACTGAAAACAAGTCACACATACGAACATTAATAACTGATTCTGAGTACCGTTTTAATCGGTCGTTTTCTATATTTTTGTCAAAGTTGAAGAAACATTATCAACGGCCTAAAATTTCAACTAATCTGTGATCAGAAAGTATGAAAATCCCCTTGATAGTGGCATGCAATCAGTGTTAATTATGTTTCCAGCAAAACGGATATTTCTAAACACAAGGTGGCAGCATTATACACTACAACAGAACGGCCTGTCACTGAATTGGCTAACACTAGGCTTAACTAACATGAATAAAATCAGGATCCAAAGAAGACACTCCTGGTAAAAATTCTTAGAGAACTGAGAAGTCACTTGGCAAGTAGCTGTGCGAATCATAATAATCCGAATTATCCAAATACGTTCGTTAATATCGACCTAAACCTACTCATACAGGTAAAAGCGTTTATATATACGGATAGAAAACACACAAATACCTGTAAATCACAATTAATTGTCAATTATACTCGTCAGGTTTATCTTGACAAGTGTATTTTTAGGCGTCGTCCATTTACAAACCACAGAGACCCCTGGTGATGAGAAGACGATATTTAGAGTTACCTCCCCTCTAGTCATACATTGCCGTCACTGTCAGTGGGACCAGAAACCATGCAATAAATTATTATATGGTGTCTGGTGGGACCGTAATCAGTATGTTTGGCAACAGGATAGCCACCAATATGTTCGATTTTAATTTGTGATTTAGTTTTGTCGATTAAAGTGTCATATCATTATGATTCATATATATTCTCACTTGAGTGTCTCAGTATAAAACATGTATCTCCAGTGAATGATCGTTTTCAGTATCAGAGAGTGAGTGAGTGAGGTTTTACGCCGCGTTGTGCATTACTCCAGCAATATCATGGCGGGGGGACACGCATTGTACCAATTTAAGAAATGGAACTCGGGTTTTCGGCGGGACGTTCAATAACCACTAGGCTTCCCCGCTGCATCTCAGTTGCCAAGAAATGATGTCATTTGCCAATTGATTGTGATGTCATGGTAACCGATGTCATTGTTATAGTCATAAAAGCAATCTGACAGTTCACTGTGCCAATACATGTATATCCTAGAAGCGGATGCATGATCTAACCCATTCGATGTCTCTGGTTGAATTAAATACAATACCCAAATACCCGTAATAGTCAAATACATTTAGCTCAGTTAAATCTCCAGTTGGCAGTTACCCCAACTCGGCGCATCTTCAATCTACTTTGACCAGATGAAACAAAAACTCTTTGATGTTGGCACATATATTGAGTGAAGGTGGTTTGAGTAGAAAGTTTTGAGTAGGTTGACAGTTTGAATTACAGAATCACCGACAGCAGCCATTGAATAAAATATGGCGCTCTCGATGCTCAAGCAGCCTGTTTACATCGTACTATTTCACTCAACCTTGGAAACATCGCAATCGTGTAGCATATGAACTTGGTAAGCTAACACGGAGAGGCCCCAACTAAAAAGAAAACTATGCAAGCCCTGCTTGGTTTTGTTCTGATCAGCGTGTCTCTATGGTGACCAAAACCGATTCACCACCTGTATATTACAAAGATAGGAGGTATGCTAATTTACAAGAAATAAAAGACATGTTAACTGATTATTTGACTGAAGAGGTTGTTGGTATTGATCTTGAAAAAAGTCCACCCAAAATTATTATGGATACTAAAAGTACCTTGAGTGAAACAGACTTAGCCCTGAGGACATTGAAGATGATATTTTATCTGTAGATAACAAAACAGCTGGGCCGGCTATGTTTTGTAATACGTTATTAAAAGCTACTGAAAAAATGTGATCGTCATTCTTGTCCTCGTCAGTTTAAAATTTCCTCTTTTTCCTTCTATTTTGAAAACTTGCTCCGTACTATCTATTCAAATTAATTATAATTAATTATCAAATTATAGACGTGTGTCTTTTCTGGCTGTTAGGCTAAAGTCCATGAAAATTGCATTTTTAATATCTATTGAATTTACAAACAGTCTGGGTTTATACTTCACAATCACAATTAATCATTTTCCGTGCCCATTTGATCCTATTGCATGTACAGTGAAAAATAAGAATCCCATTAAAACAAACCCCAGATGTTAAAATGTTCAATTAAAGTTGCCCAGTCTCACCAAACATATTTGCCCCGTACTCCACGCTGACAGTTCGTTGAGTGAGTAGGTTAAGGGAATAGTCAATAAAGTAAGTTCGATGACAGGTTCCCTCAGAAGTCTTAAGGTGGGGTGAGGTGAAATATGGTTTTACGTCCTGCTTGAGAATATTTCGCTCAGATGACGACGTGCATGTGTGTGTTTGTGTATGTGCGGCTGCTTGTACTAGCCCAGACTTAAGCTGGCTTTATAGTGCTAGCCCACTGAGATACCACGACGCCATTAATGTCAATTAATGCCGAGCGCCAGGCAGGGACCAACAAGTACCATATTCTAACGTCTTTTGGGATCGAACCCGCGACCTTCCGCTCTCCGGGTGGACGCTCTAACTACTACACCACGGAGGTGGTCAGAAGTCTTAAGAAGCGACTCAGTACGAATACACTAGAGACTATCATAAATCTGTTATCTTGCCGATATTTGATTACTGTTGACATATTTGGGGCAACTGGTCAAAGGAACAAATACAAATACAAGACTGTGGAAATGTCTTGGCCTGTTCTGGAATATTTTAGTGCATTCCGACCTAAAGAGTTAGCAGGGGCGTAGTTACCATTATGAAAAAAGCCCGGTATTACACATGATTGTTGCTGAAAAGGTTGGGCAAGCCCTCAATACAATCTAGATATATAGCTTTGCAACCTATCGGGCTTACACGAAAAAAATGGCTTGCTACGCGCCTGGTTAGAGAAATTTCTGAAAGCTTTTTAAGAATATAACGAGGGATAGAATCTTATATTGTAGTAGTAAATTCTTTGTAGTGATTTCTATTGATGTGAACTTGTAGAACAAAACTGCTAATTTACTCACATTTCTGTTTTTATGTTGGGTTCATACCCAGTTATTTAGGGATAGATCCCTCAGCAAAATCCATATTTATGGATAGACAACTTCTTTATTACAATGCATGCGACGTTTCGAAGTAGATTTTAACATCTGTTATCAACTGTGGCCAAGGAGAATATGTACACAAGTTAATACAATCAACGAGGTTATGTACAGTATGATGTCAATATTGATGGTTGTGTTAACAGATAATGATTATGAAGCCACATGGACATAGGTCAGGAAAGGGTCAATGTTGATTGGCCTTGATTAGGTGATGGTAAGCAGTATGGATGTAATAACCTTGACCTCCCCACAAGCTCCACACCAGCGTCTACAGAAAACCAACCCGCACGGACCAATATCATTCGTAACTACTCGCCCCTTCCAGTAACCTGATTACGGAAAAGAACGAGTAGTTACGAAGGGGACCAATATCTTCGTAATGATAGAAAAGTGCCAAGTGTCATGATCTGTTGTCCCCGATACACTCGTTGTAGATTTCTTTATGTTTTCCACTCATGATTTTGCCACGCATCCTTTGAATATGTAATAATGTCGTAACGTTAATTTCATAACTAATTATTGTATATACAGTTATTTCAAAATGCCTAGGGCCCGAAACCTAACAGGAAGCATTCTTGGATTCATTCCTCGGTGATGCTGCCGTCAAATAGTATGTTTTACCAAAGAGGAATTATTGTGATTTGATAACCACTGACTGACCAATCAGAATCGAGCAATGTTTAAATCTTAGTTATGCAAAAGGCGAATGAGATCCAGGTTGATTGATCTTTTAACGTCATTATCGTTTCAGACTAATGTACTTGTGCATTCTTCGATTCGGCAATTCGTGTTCACGCAACTTCAGGAAATCGGAAGTTGTCATGCATAACACTGTATTCTTTCTTACCGATTAATTCGTTCCTTCCTAGCGGTATCTTGAATAATATTGTGGCATATAACCCCCCCCCCCCCAAAAAAAACCAAAAAAACCCAAACAAACAACAACAACAAAACATCAAAAACCTTCAACCACTAGCTCATCGAGGGTGGATTCCGGGTAGTGAGTGGTACTTGGCCAGCACCAGACCATTTCTCGGTGTTGGGACCGAGGTGGAAACAATGCTGGTGTCACTCACGATTAGATACCTATTCACTCACTCACTCACTCACTCACTAAACCATTATCATTCACTCGCTCACTCACTCAGCAACCTATTCACTCTCTAACTCACTCACTCACTCTATCAACCACTCACTCACTCACTTATGCTGCTCCTACCACCTCTGTTGTCTAGTGGACAGCGCGTCTGCACAGGAAACGGGTGGTCAGGGTTTCTGACCTGCTGCGTCCGACCAAAATGTTGGCAGATCCAAGGAGGGGATGGGGTGGGCGTGTTCAGGGGGTTGGAACCCAAAGACAGTCATGTTTTTGTCCTTGATCTCATCTGATACAACCATGACATTTTCTGCCTGACACTACGCCAGCAGCTGGGACAGGAACCACTGTTCGTGGAGTTTTTCTGAGTCGAGTTTCATTACTCAGCATTTCCGAGTACCGCTGACTCATGTGAAATCTCGGCCACCTCCGAGATCTCCCGTTGTTTCGTCGCTGGGCTCACGGTCATCCTGGTGATAATCTCACAACATCCCCGGTAGCCACTGCTTTTGTCAGTAAATTTGGACACTGTCATCAATACTATCTCTCTACATACATAGTTATGTCGTAATCAGGTACCGTATATAGTCTAAATGATGGTAAACCTTTTGACACCCCTTTTATTCGCATTTTAAGGTAAAGTACTGGGGTATCTTTGTGGTTAAAGCCGCTGAGTATCAACTCACTCACTCACTCCTAACACTTCATGGCGCAATCGCTAACTCACTCACTCACTCTTCACATAAACCTCCACACAGCTCCTGTGCTGTAGTCAGGGGGCCAAAGGTGCTCCATGTACCTAAACGTGCCTTATGCGTCTCAGAAACGCATGGTCTTGGCTTTGAGTCCGTAAATGGACCCGATAATATATTTAAAGTTTTTTGCACCAGTTAAATGTTCGGGCGTTTTACACGCGTTATTTGCAAGTGTCTAAGACCTGGGCCAATCTGACACGCCGTGAAACTGTTGTGTGTGTGGCAGTAAACCTCACTCACTCACTCACTCACCATCCTTTTCCCTCTCAAGCACTTATCCACCTTCAATCACTCACACAATGTCTCAAGGTGAAGTAATCTTGACGTCAAACATCTTGTCATACTGTATAGTGACGTATCCTTTGTCAATCTGCGTAGATGGTATGGGTATGAAACACAGAAGGGGATTTAAATGGCCTCTAGTGGTTAAGTATAACGTAATAGAAGATATGGCAGTTAGGGAAGTAATTCAAATCATGGATGTACATGTAAATAAAATAAAATAGTTTGAATGTGTGAAGCTAGTTCAGGGCATCTTCCGCAGAGAAATTTCCGGTATATTGCTAACTCTGCCCAGTTTCACAACCTATCACTGGCCGATGACTCTATGTTACAACATGGCGGTTATG